ATCATACATGGTTTACGGTAATGCACTATTTTTTGTCTGCCCACTAACATGGCGGACACCAAACAACCTACCGATGCATCGATAAATTACGGCGATTTTACTGTCGGAAATTACACATATGTCTTTAAAGATGGATTTAGCGATGACGGGCTCGACTCACTACTTGCTTAAATCACAGCAATAGGTGTTTATACATACAAAAGTACTTCGAAAGCATGGAAACAAATATTCAGTCGAACAAGATCAAAACATCGTCTGCTTTCCGAATAAAAATTCAGCAAAAAAACAAATATGTTTACGTTGATTCTATGTTATGTCAGAATAGATCCAGCAATAGACTGCTACATAATTTCCCGTGTTAAATTTATTATCAGCTTTCGTCAACGATATCGCCACTGATCTTGATCCGGTAACGGAGGATGCATTAACATCGAACGCCGAAGAAATTTTAATGCCTTCCGTCGACATAAATAAACAGTTGGGTTATCAATTCAAACAAAATGATAATTTTGAAATTTGTACTGTTTCAAATTTAGCGGTAGTAAAACACAATTACAGTATCTGCAAACCGTTCTGTTTAGCCCAACATATTTTTTTTCTAAAAGTATAATATCGTTGAAAAAGTTATTTAGCTTAGTCATGATCCCTCTTATCCATTACACTGCTTGATCTAAAGTAGTCTATTAAAGTATAATTAATTACCTTACCGTGTTTATGCCAGAGGTACACCCTCATGTCCTGATCCATCCTTTCGGAAATATCACCACAAATCTGTCTCTTTGTCAACAGACTCGCGAACATGCCAGCGAATCCGATTCAATTTGAATTCACTACACTTTGAAGCCACTAGGTCACAAAACACTTTCCAAAATGTAGAAAATAATATCCGTAGAATCGAATTTGAGCACAAAGTACACATGAGTGTGTAAGAGTCATCACAGCTGTCGCGCGCAGACGTAGAGGTGCGTGAAATCGTCAAGTTGACAGGGCGCAAAATTCAACAGTATCTAAATTCGGTACAACACGGACTCCTCGTTACAGCAAAAGCGCCTCCACTCTTAAATTTTGTACCAGTACCAGTAATTAGATATCAAAGACTATCTCTGTCATACAATCAGGTTAACCTTGCGCAAACTGTCAGAGGCTCTCCTGTCGCATCTTTCCAAATTTGCACGTAAATGTAAACAATGACTTCCGAGAAAAGGTCAAGGCCATGAGGTTGCGGCCATTATTCTGGTGGGGTAAGGGTCTACTGTGGAATTTTCAAATGTGAACCAAGCTTTTTAAACTTATTTGATATATGTTTTCCAACTTATCAGTTAATGATTGGTGATTGATGCATTGAAAAAACAAAACGTGATTTGTTATTACTGAATCTGGAGTTTGTTAGTCATTGGCGGTTTGCCACCAATCACCCCGTTTCGGGCGATGCCACTTGAGATTGGAATGCGAGGCCGCTTCACGTATTGACTCGTAACCAAAGAAAGAGCTCCACCTGAAATTGTTCATAAAATTGTCATGGTAGAATGGAGATAAACCTACTGTGTTGGAAAATCAGAGGTATATAACGAAATTATAATAGCTCTAAATTGTTCATTTAAAACCTCACGCTACGCGTTCGGTTTTAAATGAAATTTAGAGCTATTATAATTTCGTTATATACCTCTGATTTTCCCACACAGTAGGTTTATCTCCTAATTATAATTATTAGAGGATATTTATATAGCGAATTAAGTTATGAGGTCATAATAAATCATTAAATAAACCTGTTGGCGAAGGACAGTAAAAATAACTAGAATGTCACAGATATAATTGTAAAACTAGCATGAAAATCTAAAATACCTTAACTATGAAAGACCATACAATATATAAACAGGCTATAGATTGCCAATAACTGAAGGTAGATCACTATACAAGGGACAATGGGGACTTACAGTACCTTTGTACCTGCATGGACGTTAGCTGGATTTAACCATCCTTTCAGCCATTGGCGATTGTAGTCAAAAATAGCCATACTTTAAAATAACACATTTTTACGATTAAAAACACGTGGTATGAAGAATCCTTTGAATGAAATGGGACTTACATACCTTCTTAGGGGGACAATAATTTTACGCTACTTCAACCCCTTTAAAGGTAATGCCACTAACAGTCAAAGTCATTAATTCATTCTCACAAACTAAAAATTCATATTCTAATTGGTTCAATAGATTGAGCGCCCTTCCCTTTTTTTCTGGATCATATTCCATACCTTTAATATCGGCGTTCGTGAAAATATTTTTGATACATAATTATTTCGCCAGGATCGACGTTTACTTTGCTTGAACGTACGCCGTGCCTTAGCATTTAAAATTTATTCAAAGTATCGACCATATGATGGCAACGGAAATAATTCTCAGCTTTCTTCCGTGCCTTCCTAGCCTGTTTGCAATTTTCTGTAAATCATGGTTTTCGGATGTGTGGAATTGCAGAGGATTTGGGTATACACTCATCAGCTATATTATTGAGTTCATCAGAGAAATCTTTTATGGCATCAAGAACATCTACAAAAAGTTCAGGTTCAAGTCTCAGCAACCCATTCTTGTCACAAATGGCGACTGCTTGTCGTAAAAGGCGACTAACGGGATCGGGTGGTCAGGCTCGCTGACTTGGTTGACACATGTCATCGGTTCCCAATTGCGCAGATCGATGCTCATGCTGTTGATCACTGGTTTGTCTGGTCCAGACTCGATTATTTACAGACCGCCGCCATATAGCTGGAATATTACTGAGTGCGGCGTAAAACTCAACTCACTCACTCACTCAAGTTCAGGTCTGTTACAACAGAGGGCTTGATATAAGTGCCAGTTACTGGCAATTCACATTCATTCGATAGGTTTGAATCTGTAATTGATAAATCAAGAGCTGAAAAAATTCCTGCGCCAGGATTTAATGTGTGTTGGAATCGACATTATATATGCATAAATCATTATCCTGAACAGAACTCTTCCAAATGTTTCACTGATTATACAAATCCAGTCGAGAGGCAGACGCCATTTTGTTTACATGTCCTGTAGTCGGTAGCGAGCTTATCAATCTTCAAAATAAAACAAGTTGTCACTGAGGTGACATAACCCCACGCCGCAAGTTATCAAATCAAATTTAAAAACTAATGAAAGTGAACGCTGTAGTTTAAGATGAATTTAAATGTCTACAAAAACATGATCAGTCAACTCTCTTGATATCTTGCTCTGTAGCTGTTCAGACACACACGTATTTTCACGGTGTATGAAACATAAAAATTACGTGAAAGTCACCAGAATCGACCGGGCCCTGTGCCTTCCCTAGATGAAGCTTGGCGTCAAATATCAAGAAAATCCAGCAAGCAGTTCTTGAGGTAATTCGCTTACAAGGGTAAAACGTTAAAGTCACCTTGTGACCTTGAAATTTAGGTCAAGGTCACCAAATTTGACTGGGATGTTTCGCATACTGAGATGAACCTAAGTAAGAAGTATGAAAAAATCTATTCATTGGTTCTTAAGATATTCCAATTCGTACCTACGTACGGAGGCTAATACTATATCCACCGCTTTGTGCTGAACGCGCAGAGGGGGATAACAAAATGATATTTTGTACTTTTAAGATAGTGGTAAGATAAATACGTTGAGATCTTCTCCCTCGGATAATACGGTCTGATGGGTGTCTTTTCGTATTAGAGTCATCCCTCGCCTACAGGCTCGGATGGCACTGCTACAGCAAGGCATACATCAGATCATATTAACCTCGAGAGAAGCATACAACTTATAATATTCCGCCGAGAGAATACACAAACTGCGTACACAAACTGATTCAAACACTGAACACACAGCATAGGCACCATACAGATACTGCGTACACATACTGATCCAAACACTGAACACAACTAGCACAGGCACCATACACGCCACATTAAATCGCATCAGAGTATACACTACACAACACAACACAGCACAATACCTCCATTCTACACATGCAAACACACGGACACATTACACCCGTCAACACACACATAACACATATCAACACGCACATCACACCTGTCAACACACACATCACACTTGTCAACACACATCACACCTGTCAACACACACATCACACCTGTCAACACACACATCACACTTGTCAACACACACATCACCCCTGTCAACACACACATCTCCCCTGTCAACACACACATCACCCCTGTCAACACACACGTCATACCTGTCAACACACATCAAACGATGCCACACACGGACATCACCCCAACACGATATGATAAAATAACCTTCATATTTATAAAATATTTATATCAGCCTGAATTGGTAAAAATTCTTAAATCAATAAAATTCTTAGAATTCCATTATATTTACACTTAAGTGTTAAGAATTTCTTAAGTCACATTTATAAAACTTTGTATTCTTAGAATTACTCCTAAGTATGGCACATATTTAGGAGTGCCCCTATGGTACTCCTAACTAGTTAAGAATTTTCTTAGCTTTACAAACATGGCCGCTCGTATGCGTCGCTTGAGAGATTTTAGGTTAAGAAGAGATGTATTAGCAGTGTACAACAATGAAGAATTGATAAAGAGGTACCGTATGGACTTGGGGGGGATTGTTTTCATCACGAATTTGGTCCGGCAACACTTGACAAGTCCGACAAAACGGAATCATTCCTTGGACGCTGAGACTAAGATTGCCATCACTCTGCGTTACTTAGCCACTGGCAAAATGCAGCTTTGTAGCGGCGACGATTTCGGTGTTAGTCAGCCCACTGTCAGTAGAATAATATCCGAAACTTTGTCAGTACTTTCTGACCCTCAAATTGTCACGCAATTCATTTCAATGCCGACTTCACAGCAAGAAACACAACGCCACAATCGCCAATTCCACGCACTTGCGGGCTTCCCCGGTGTCGTAGGTGTCATTGATGGGACACATGTGAGGATAATAGCTCCTACTCAAGATGAGCCTGAGTATGTGAATCGGAAGAACTATCATTCCCTGAACGTACAAACAATTTTCGATTCCGATTCTCTTATCCGAGATGTTGTAGCGAAATGGCCTGGAGCAACACACGACGCCCGGATCTTTCATGAAAGCGGCGTTCGTCAGCTGTTTGAAAGGGGTTTTATGCCAGCTGGGTCCCATTTACTTGGAGACAGTGGCTATCCATGCAGAAGATATATTTTAACACCCTTCCTGCACCCACAAGCTGGACCAGAGACAAATTATAACAGGTATTCTGTTTGTTTATATTCACAGACATGTAAACTTGTCCGACACGGTATGAATTAGAGTAGCTTCCCTTGGGAAGGTGGTAAATTCTATAATTTGAAATTGTGTTTTTTAAACGAAATGACATTGTAGCTTTGTAATTCTTCATAAAACGGATTAGCGATTAAGGATTTAACGATGCTTATTTTATTAGATGAGTAAACGTAGTAAATATAAAAGATGATATACTACTGTCAGATGTTCATCTACATTTATGAATGCAATATAACAATAATGCAAATCTCCAAAAATACATATGGGTTCAAATATCATACTGCATGTAAATTATAAGAAAAATGTCTTTTGCAATCAAATATGGTTTTCATATCTTGTGATGAACATATACTTAAAAAATTTGAACAAAATTGATGAGAAATTAAAGAAATATAGAGTTCCTGTATGAAATTACAAATTAGAAATTGAGCCAGTATTTCAGTCAAATAAATTTAAAATTCATCTGAATCATTAGCATAGAATTATACATGAACTCAGTGAATTTGATTAATTATTTCAATACATTGAAATATGTTTAGGCTTGAAAACATTTCAATTAAATGTCCTTAAAAATTCCTTTTAGATCTCACAAGAATACAAGGAGTGTTGTTGAGAGAGGCATTGGACAATTAAAGAGAAGATTTCATGTCCTGCATGGAGAGATTAGGCTGACACCTCAAAAAGCATCAAAGGTTTGTTTATGATATATTGTAATGTTTGTGTTTTTGTAATACTTTGTTATTAGAGAAATGTAATAATTACAATAACATAATTGGTTTTCTTGATTTGTGTAATTTCTATCTTTCTACATGCTGCAATTGAATATTTTACAGGTTGTGATTGTGTGTGCCGTGCTCCATAATATCTGTAAACAAAGAAATATCCCACTACCTCCTGGACAAGATGGACACCAAGATGGACAGAGACCGCCTCCCCAGGTTGTTCAGCCGCCAGCAGACGGTGTCAGATATCGCCAACAATTTGTCAATCTTCACTTCTAGACATGGTACTCCATCTTATAATAATATTCACTAAATTTTCATTGTTTTTTAATTCATGTTTATAAGTCAGACACTGGGAAGACTAGGAATTGATCCTTCCCCAAGTTTCCTAAGGACCACAACTTTGAGTAATATTTATGTTTGTATTAAGAATTCATAATAATCATTAGATAAAGTATCTTTTACTGTGATAGCATCTTTATTATGGTGGAAACAACATTGAACATCTTTATATATCACACAGTTCCTTAGTCTCTTTTCAATTTCTTTATCTTCAGTTGGTAATACTCAAGCTGGGCCTCTAACACTTTTAATTCCAGCTCCCTCTTCCTGTCAGTCACGGGAACTGGAAGTTGTACTGAGGCCGGAACAGGGACTGTACTTGCAGCTGGATCAGGGACCATGGCTGGGACTGACACTGGGACATCCACATCGAGACAGTCGCTCTCATATGGACTGAAACATGACATTACTAACACTGAAGTGATCAGCAAACTTGTATCTTCTTGTACAAGTACAAGAACCTTGAATGTCATCAGAATCTTAAAGGGACAGTCTAGAGAATCATTATAAGTGAAATGCCAATGATGTGTGATATCCAGAGGTGTGGTGCCCTTTTTCATTATATGGTGTTGACAGTGTGGGCTTGTTGGATAATTTGGAGTTCATTTCAAAGTTGCACCACTTCAAGCAAGCTCATTGATTATAGTCTATGATGAAAATAAGTCTATATATTTACAAAAAATTGATATATTAGTTTCCTGGAAGGGACCACTAATAACATCTGCAGAGTTCAAATCTGTTGGGGGAAACTACTGTGCTAATGTGTGTCGTTAAGGTTGTATAATTTCAACATTTCAAGAAAGCCTTTCATAAAATAATTTCATTACATTCAGTTAGGTACATGCATTTGTTTGGTAGGGTGCTGTAAAGTGTATGTACGTATGTAATATTGTTCATTTCGTCATGATATGGTGCACATTTTAAATACATGAACCAAAGATCAAGCTTGATATCATCTTTGATACATTCCATAAGGTAATAAGACTTGTTTTAAAATAATTGAACAAGTTGGAACATTTGTCTTAATGATATAAATACCTCAGATTAATAAACTGCAACATGGATGTGTCGATCCCATTGTCTAATCCACTTATAGATGCGTTAGCTTCACCAAGAATTGATTCAACTGTGCTTGCAACCGCTGAGAGGGGAGAAGTACTTGGACCTCCACCTGAAATTATTATGTACACAACTCGGATCACTAGTTCACAAAAAATCTGCTCAAAGTTATGTACATCAGACATGAGGTGATTGGAAACTGAAATGTAAGTGAAAGTAATTAATTACAAAATCTGTGAGCATACATGAAGTAATGGACTGTTTATAAATGTTACTGGCAAGTATACAAATATCATTAAAAATTATTGAAGTATATAAAAATCTTTATGATGTTTGCTTTACGATCGCACGTTCACACTGTTCAGTGTGGTGAACAAATTATGATATTGAGCATAATTGTATTTTTATTACCTAGAACTTATTGAGAAACAAACTTGTTTCGAATAGAATGTGAAAAGTATGACCATGGGAAAAAGAACTGTTTTTTCTTGGTATTGATGTGTTTCAAAAATAAATTACACTGTGTTACATTTAAAGATCAAGACCAAATACTATTTAAAAAGCTATTCCATGTAAATATGATTGCTCTTTTAACATTAAGTTTTAACTTAATACAAAATTAGTGTTTTCATGTGAGATTTTCGTTGTGTTATTTATGTAAGTAATTGCTTTTTATATGTTCGAACAAGAAACATATAGTATTGATCAACAGACTATTTCATGTTTATTTCCTAATTAACTTACTAGAAAAAATGGATTACTAAAAAATGATTGGCCTACGTACATGTAAATAAATGAATGCGTTATGCAATATTTTAAATCCCACCTGTTGCTGTTGTTCCTCGCCTGTATGCTGCAATTTCCTGCCTTGATTTTGAAAGTAGATTATACCACTTTTTCTCCACTTCTTCATTGGATCGAATCACATGAGGATGGGATGCATTGATTGATTCGGTGATTGACATCCACGTCATCTTCTTTTCCTCTGATGTTATTCGAGATGAAAATTTGCCTCTTATTATTTCTTTCTTTGATTCCACTAACTGAACAAGTGACAGACATTCGTCACTTGTCCAGTTAGGTTTTCTGTTCCCCTTTTTCGCATTCATTTTGCGCTCGTCACGAACAAACCAAAGATCGTCGTCTGCTAAGTTTGCACGAGACAACTTGCAGATATAGATTTATTTAAAAAACACATTTTGGGGATAACATAACTCGATTTACCTACCTTTTCAATCGAAGTTTTGGTCAGGATGCTCCTCTTCCGGTAACAGAGCGTAAACAAACTAAACTCGGTTCAGTCTGCTATTCAACTCTTCATATAAGTCAGCGCAAGCGCCGCCATCAACATGACGTAAGCTATTTATAACCTCGGGGAATTCCCGGAATTCCCTTGGCTACAGCGCTAAGTATTTTCTTAAGATCGAACTCCCATTCTTAGTTAAAAGTTACTCCTAGACCCTTTATGAATAATTCTTAAGAGTTACTTTTAGCTAAGATTTTGTTTTGGTAATCTTAGAGCAAAACTAAGAATTTTCTTAGAATTTTTATAAATACGGCCCCTGATCTTCATTGTCAATAGATATTTAAGTGAGTCACTGCACGATATCCTCTTCTCCTTCCACAAAACAACCATTAAGACTGAACGAAGACGTGATACACATACAGATGCCCATGAACATGAGTCATAATCATGGCTGCCATGGAAACAGAAAGAGGTATGAATTCTAAGAGTCTAAGTAGTCAGTATTACTAGTTTAAAACATGTTCTTTGTGCACAGCTCCATGACAGAAGACCGATTATTTTTAGAGATATGGTCCAGAGAGCACACGACTATGAACAGGGTTAAATTCAAACTTGATGCCATGGAAACATCACACTATTCCTAAATAGCAAAAGGCAGCACCTCAGTCCTTTATAAATTCATGTCCCGAGTGTGGATAAAAAGTATTGAATAGTTTTTAGTTCTGCTCAGGAAACGACATCAACCTCCTTTTCATTTTAGGCTAAGTAGCTTCCATGGAAAAAAGGGGGAAAAATGAAAATTCCCGAAATAGAAAAAAGCATCACTTCAGTATCTGTTTGACATGCCTGCCATGTTTTCATACCAAGTGGTGCGCCAGAAATGAAATGGGACGGACAGACGAGGTATTGACATTATCCAACCGCATTATATGTCGGCAGGGATAATAAATAACACGATATCATCAATGTCTGTTACCTGTGCGTCACTAAAGTAGATTGTCACATTCTACTATAAGTCACCTCTAACATGATGCTTGATATAAGAACTCAAGCTGCACTTATTTCACTAGACAGCCCCGGGAAACAAGAAAGTTATACACAGGACGTTTAGGCTTTGCTATCATGGCTGCTGTTTTCCCATTCTTGTCTCGGGCGTTAATGTCGGCCATGTTCTGTGAAATGATGTGCTTCACCATCCACAGGTATCCATGCATAGAGGCCAAATGAAGGATGTTGTGACCCTGATCATCCACTAAGTGAGTTAGACCACCTTTATTCGCAAGCAGATCAAACACTTTTCTTTTACCATAATACGCTGCATTCATCAATGGTGTCCTTCCATGTGTCCCCCTGCTGCTAATATTTACATTGCCCTGTGAGAGAAGACTTTTCATGACATCTAATCGTCCGACCTTACTGGCAATGTGCAGGACGTTGTTGCTGTTATCATCAACTTGTGACAAATTAGCTCCCCTACTCACGAGGAGCTCACAAACGCGCGCGTGTCTCCACGATGCAGCTTGCATCAAAGGGGTCTTGCCACCTTTCCCCTTACTGTTAATATCAAGACTGCATAGTGAAAGTAGATACTTCACACTACCTAGATGTCCCCCTCTGCAGCCCCAGTGCAGGGCGTTGTCCCCGACATCATCAACTTGTGACACATTAGCTCCCATACACACGAGGAACTCACAAACGTCTGTGTGTCCCCGCCATGCAGCCTGCAGAAGTGGGGATACGTGCTTATTGTTAATGTCTATGTCATATTGTGGGAGTACACACTCCGCCATACCCAAATGGTAACCCCTGCAGGCCCAGTGAAGGATGTTCTTACCATCGTTATCCACATGTGTCGTGTTAGCCCCTTTTCTTATAAGAAAGTCAAATATTCTGCAATGTCCTTCCTGTGCTGCCACCATGAGTGGTGTTTTGCCGTGATTCCCGTCTCTACTGTTGATGTCGACCAAACCCTGGGACAGGATGCGTCTCACTCGAGTCAGGTTCCCCTTCCTGCAGGCCTCGTGAAGTGGACTGCTCGCAAATGTTTCTTCCTTGTCAACTTTATGTTGTGGAGACTTCTCAGGGACGTTCTGCTCCTTATCTGCGGATGTTATGTGATAATGATACAACGACGTCAATTTGATAACATTATGCACTGTAGTTGGTAACCAATAGAATGAAAGCTTGTTACCAGTTGTGCATAATTAGCCCATAAACTGAAATATTATCAACAATGATCATAATTCTTAGAATACTACCTCTAACACTTGATTGCATTATTTCTAGAAACCTAATTCTGATCCACAGGTCTAACGTGAACGTTTTCGATTTTTTTGGGATGACCTATTGGTCTTCCAACGCGTTCTCTGAAGATGTTGTCTCCACGGACTGGAAATTGTGTAATATTTCACTAGAATACTCAGTGAAAGGTACTCTGGGATTACGAAGGAAGGATGGGCGAACCATTACCCCAAGTGTTAGATGCAGTATTCCAAGAATTATTGATTGTACTTGAGAGTTCTAATGAATAAGTCCTCCTAACAATTGAATGCAACATGGACTTGGTGTTAAGACAAATAAACCTTGTAGCCTCAATAAGTCAGTTTTAACTTTGACAATTTCAATTTGAAACTGTGATCTCAATTTCCCTAGTTTAAAGGTCTTGGTGCAGGTAGAGCAGTTGGAAGTACTACGGGAGATTATCTCTTTGAGATTGGTGACTTCTAGGGGAGATAACTCCGGTGAGGTTAAGCAAGCAGGCAAAAAGGCACATGGCACGATTTTCGGTAACGAGCATTGTCTTTGGAGCTAAACTGATGTAAATAGACCGAAACCAAAATGATTATGCCACGAAATTTGTAATTACCCTTCATATGAGTCATGCATTGTCATCATTTCGGGAGAACTGTTGTCCATTTGGTGTATTAGTTGTAGAAATGTCGTAACTTTGAAATGTAAACAAATGTGATGACAGTGTAATTTTTACTTGTAAACTAACGTGTGAAAAGCAAAGTTATTGTTTCATATTTGTATTTGAGCCTAAACAATTATTCATGATGTAGCTTTATCCAACATTTGGTGAATCAGGTTCTGTATGGTTTCAGCTTGAACCCGCTGAATGATTTATACTGTTCAAGTTATGAAACGCGTCATGACGGAAATAAACTGCGGTGTAACAAGAAACAAAAATCGTTTAGTGTGATTGTAACCTAACAAACCTCCTTTTGGTTGTTGCGACAACACTTGAGCAGTCTCCTGCTTCTGCAATTAATACTTTGGTGGACCATGATATAATTCTTGGAAATGATGACAATATTAATATTTTCTTACCCTTCAATGGCGTCATGATTTGATTATGTAACGATGACTTAACTTCCGGTCCGTATGCTCCAATCTATGAAGACCAAGTATGATCCTTGATTGGATATGAGTGTACCATGTGAGTCGTTTGGGCTCAACAAAGTGCAACAACAAAGGTTTTCTGGGATCACAAACAAATTAGTCTGTGACGCACACTGTTGTATCAATCAGGGAGGTGGGTAAAAGTCCAACCTAACACACACACACACACACACACACACACACACACACACACACACACACACACACACACACAGAATGTAAGGATATGAGGATAGAATGGCTAACTACGATGGACAACAACGTGTTAGAGCTTGCAAGTCTTGGGTCACATCTCTCAGGTAAAACGTGATAATAGTGATGGACGTTCCCAACTGGCAAGCTGCCATGATCTGCTCAATGATCTGCTCAATGATCTGCCCAATGGCATTGGCAAGCTTAGTAGTCGTTTTTATCCATGCAGCCACAGTATTCTTGGTGATGTCAGTGTCAGACTGTTCCTACTAAGATAATCAAAGCCTGAAACGTCCTCGGCGAAAGGCTTCATGTCCAGTTAACCCCTTTCTAGCGAAGGAGCTGGAGAAGGTATGGTAAACGCTCGTTGTCCTAGAGGTCCAGCAGAGGAAACTCCCGTTGAAAATCCCGCTGACAAGAGATGTTGTTGGATACTTTTGTAAATTGCAATAGAACATGTCTGACTTCAGCTGTCGGAGAAATGTAGGCCACTGAGGAAGATGTAATGGTAGATCTTGCAATAGAGACAGTTGGTCTTTAAACTTCGATCGCATTTACACCATGCCGGTGCTACCAGGTACAGTATAATGTGACGGTTCCTGGTCTTGGCTACAATTTGTGGGATAAGCGCCATTGGTGGAAATGCATAGGCAGTGATTCCCTCCCAAGGTGTTGACATGGCATCCACTACATAAGCTTGAGTATCTGGCGTTGTCCTTATATAGGTCGTTGAGAGATGTTCCAATTTGCTTGTTCCCATTTGGTCGCAATCTGACTAAAGGCATGTGGATGATGCATCCAATCTATTGTCCAATTCTTGTCTGGGCATTGTAACGCATCTGCAAGAATATTGACCTTAGTAACCACACTTGCTGGATTTGTAAGACACGCTTGGAATGACTACCGCTCTGGAATCTACGAAATTTCTTGATTGTTGTAAAATCAACTTCCTTGAATTAAATGTTGAGAAAACAAAAAGAGATGGTTATTCATTTTCGGAAAAACAACAATTGCATTTGATAACGAAACCAGAGGAGTTGAGGAATATAAGTATCCTGGCACAGTGATAGATTCTAAGCTCACCTGGAACAGTAATACGGATTACATATCCAAGAAAGATTTACACAGTTTTTATAAGGCCTCACTTTGCATACGCCTGCGAAGTCTGGAATGGCTTCGGAAAAGAACTAAGTTTAAAATTGGAAAGGCTCCAGATGGAAGCTGCAAGAATTATTATAGGAGTTCCCAAATATTCTTCTTCTATTTCACTTTATTATGAAAGAAGCTTGGAAACACTATCAGAGCGTAGAAGAATAAGTAAATTGTCTTTGTTCTATGATATTCAAAACTACAAAAGTCTAATCTACCTAAAAGAAATAATTCCGCAGTACGTGGGCTCCAGGAGTAATTATAATTTAAGAAATTGAGGCAACATCTGCTGGCCAAGAACAAGAATAAAAGTTTCTCACGGGTCGTTCTTCCCATCGACTTTTAGATTGTGGAACAATTTATCTACAGAGGTAAGAAATTGTACTTCACTGTCAAAATTTAAAACGAGCATAATAACATCATATAACTCAGCTCCACTGTACTTTTCTAACGGTATTAGAAACTTTAACATATTACATACGCAACTACGTCATGGAGCTAGTAGATTAAGTTACGATGTGTACGGTCTAATCACTGATCCATCCTGTGCATATGGCAACCCATTCAAAAATGCTCATCACTATTTCTTAGAATGTTGTTTATACAATCAACATAGAAAGATCATGCTTAAAGCTATTCAAGATGTACCTGCTAGTAATTCTGCGATTACACTATCTGCTATTTTAAACGGCATTGCAGATCATATAAATGAAATGATATTAAAAAATGTACATAAGTATATATGCAAATTTAAACGATTCCAGAAGTCTTTTTCTATACACCTTTTGTATTATAACATTTCCCCTGAAACTGTCAATCTTTCTCTGTCTCTGTTCCTAATAATGATGTGATGCAATTAGTTATTGTAAATATCTTTGGAGAGGGGTTACATATATTGTAAGAACTTGTCCCCGATCCTTTTCACATTGTGAATAAAAAATGTTTAAACTATACAAGAAAGGACTAAAGCGGCTATACCTTTTATTTTAGTTTTCAATGTACATTGCTGGTATGGGGTTCTGTCTGTTCAAAATCGATGTGAAGTTTCCAAAATTGTTAACACAGCAAGTAAAATTTCTTGACTTAAAATGCAAGATATCGGCAAACTGAAAAGAAAACACGTAATTTTTTAAATGTTAGGACTAGGGCTGCGCAATATAACCAGTTTACCGGTACTTACCGGTTCAGACATGAAATCGATACATATTGCGATACACTGATCGAAAACCGGTATTTCGACATGCATTCAGAAAACTTCGTAACACTCGGAAATCTTCGGATATTTCCGTTTTTCGCACCGGAATGTATGGGTAAGTTCGGTTTGAAGTTGTGTTCTTAATTTTTGTTCAAGTATTTCGCAATGTTTTGGATCTGAATGTTTTAAATGTTTACTCATTAATGACCAGTGATCACTGATATGTCCTGACCAGGTCAAGTTGCTGTCTAAAATCTCCGGTCTTTTTTGAGAGTAGAGAAACTGGTTCAAACTATTAACCACTTTGTTGATGTTAAATTGTTCTTTCCTTTGTTTCATTTGTGCCAAATATTATTTATTTCGTCATGTTTAAAAGTTTTTATAAAAGCATAATCAGGTATAGTGATTGTGTTGTGTTTTTGCTTTATAAATCAAGCATGAACTCGAATATAAGTAGTTTTTTATTCTAAGTTTTATTGTGCAAAATATTGCAATACATATCGCAATATATGCTTTCGCATCGCAATATATCGCAATATGAAAATTCACTGCAATACCCACCCCTAGTTGGGACTATTTCCTGAATTTCAATTTCTTCCTTCCGGCCGACGACTTCACACGCCAATATTCAGAACAAACAGTGCTCGAAATTCTTTCATCCCAGCAAGCATCAGGGTTTTAAATGAATTATTTTAATCATTTTAAAATATTTTATCAATTGTTTCAAACTGTTATATTAATATACGTTTAGTGCTAATGTTCCTCAGCATAATTTTAATGTTGCCACTATAGCTTTAAATCTTAAATATATTATTTAGTGTTTTCATGTTAACCGTGTACAACACATTTTCTTCGAGATAAGAAAGCATTACCTCATCGTATAATACAGGCTGATGCCAATATTAGGGACCGTGGACCGTGGGGCTTGGATGACCTTGATGATCCAATCACCTTCCACTTGTCCGTGAATGGTGACCCTGTGAAATTCCCTGTCTTCTTCCGACTTGAACGCTAAAGTTTCTTCTAATGAACGGTCGATTCTCTAACGGCTGTGAGTAAGGCATGTTCTGAATTTCCGGGAGATCGGTGATGATCCCTGCAACGTAGGTAAAACTGCACCGATAACTTCGCCAGGAGAGCTTGAGAATCATAGACTGCCATGC